AAAATAAGTTAACTAAAAGATCTTTAAAAACACATTTTGCTCAGGTATTAAGAAGTTCAAGAAAAGATCTAAATGAAAACAACAAAATCCTATCAATCTTAAAGGGATTACAAAGTCATTTTTAAGGTGTTGTACTCCAGCAAACCAGTGAAAACATAAATACACAAATTGAAAAAAAAAAACACAGAGCAGTTTTGACCATGCACTAAAGTACTCAGGCCATCAAAACTTTTTCAGGAGCTCACAAAAGACCCCAGAAAACAAGTCAGTGTGGATGATTCAACAGTCTCAAAAGAAACTGGGTAAAAATGATAAGTGATTTTCCCCTCGCTTTGCAAGGTTAGGCTCAGTGAACTGTTTATGCAGGAGACATATACCGACATGCACCAATGAATGGCGAAAAACACAAAATAATGAAGGTTTTAGAGTGGCCCAGTCAAAGTCCAGATTAAACCCAATTGGGATGCTGTGGCAGGACCCTAAGCAATCCATTGATTCTCTAAAATCTCTAAATGTAGAGAAAAATAAAGAGTAAAAGGCTGCAACTAATGATTATTTAAAAAATCGATTAATCTGTCAAATATTTTTTTCAATTAATAGATTAATATTCGGATAATCAAAGGTTCCTTAAAGAAGATTTTTTTATTAAATTAAACCAGGTGAAACTTAACCTTTTCCGCTTGAGGATTTCTGTATAGAGCATAGTGACGGACAAAAAAACATTATTCTTATCTGAAATGCAAAATATCTATATATCTTTTTACAATTTTGATGTAGTTACAGTGATATAGTTATAGTTGTTTTAAAGTCTCTAAACTCCAGTAAACAATTAATTTATTACTAAATTAGTTGACGATAATTTCAATAACCAATTAATTATGATTAATCCGATTAATTGGCCTAAATAAGTGGCCAAGACATATAGACAATAAAGTAAATGATTAACTGCTACTGAGCTAATGAGCTTGAGCTAAATGTTGTCAGTGCCAATGGGCACAACCATTTATTAGTTTAAGAGGAAAAAATAATTTTTACCTAGAGCCAGGTTGGTTTATATTACTTCTTTAACATAATCAGTAAAATACATTTCATGACTACATTTGTATTAGCGCAGGTTGCCTTAGTAAAAAAAAAAAACAACACTACTAATATTAAAAAAAAGAAACATTATAGATAGTTGATTTTCTCTTTCCAAGGGCTGTAGTTCGTATCCTTTCAGTTGTGCCGCTGAGGTTCTAGACGGGATGTCGGATATGTGTGAGAAAGTCAGGGTTGAGGAATGTGAGGCAAAATCTTCTGAGGGTGACAGGGCCTTGATAAGTCTTATTTAAACTTTAGCCTTCGTAAAATGCCAAATGTCAACAGCTGCCCGTGGCCAGAGCACTCTGATCTGGTAAAGCAAACATCAAGAAGCTATCCATCAATATTTACGATACCATCATTTACAGTGTTTCTAATGTGGTTTTTGTTTTAGACATCATTCTAGACAGTTTGAGGGGTGGAAGCACCCGGAAGGAAGAATCAGACAGTTCACCTGAAGAATTTTGACAGCTGTGCTCTTTTCAGTCCTCTGTTATGTCTATTGCAGTCGGTCCAAGTTGTGGAAAATATCAGGAAGGTGCTATGTGAGTGGCTAAAACCCCTGCTCTTGTTTCCATACACTATTAATAACCAAGTTAAGGTAGTATAATGCATGCTGTAAATCATAAAGCCATCTTAATGTTGTAGTTATAAATGCAAATGTGGGGTTATGATCTGCTCTTGAAAATAACACGCTATATTTAATTTAGTTAAAAGGGTCATGTGATTCATTTATAAAATTACCAAAAATATTGTTTATGATGGAAAAGTGAATTGATTGTTGGATTTAGAAACAAACATTCTAATGCACCGTCTATGCTGACACCCGTACACAGAAATTATACTGGTCTGCTCAAAAATTTGCAGTGGAATCTGCAAAGTGAAAGACATGTTTTAGCAGTTTACCCCAACTGTTTGCTTCAAAATTTTGACGCCATGGTTCGAACTCAAGCTGAGAAGTTTCCCAAGACTTTCGCCTACAGCCGGTTGTTCCGTGTAAGCTGTGAGATTCACATCCACCCCTCCTCCCCTGGCCGTATTTAACTGGAATTCAGTCTGCAAGCCTTCTGCAGTCAGCAATGTGACAGCGAGAACATGTCCAACCACACCTCTGATGCCTCGGTGCTAGCCGTCACAGGGCTTCCTCCTTTGCAAGTTCAGACCAGTCGGCTCACAAATCAAAAGAGAAGATTTACTTGAACCTCCCGAAACACATGTCACTCTAAAACGTTAACAAATATCCTTAAACTTTTTGGGATTTAATCACATCATGGTCGTACACATCCATATACACCAGCTGGATTTTAAGACAAAGACAAAGTAACACACTTTTACAATGTGGAACATTTTTAGGATGCATCTTCTCTTTGTCCACCAATAGTGTGATTTTTTTTTGTTAATTCTTCTTTGCTGTATGAATTCAAACAGATTTGAAGATTGAATTTAAAGCCAATTGGATTTCAGGACGGGCACTGACTTTATCGTAGCTCTGGCTATATGTGATCAAACTTGTTAAAGATTTTTAAGCTTCATTTGTGTCTTACTTGGCTTGTGCAAGCATTCTTCTTGAGGCTTATTGTAAACAAGTCAACGATTGGTTGTCCAGTCAACAAATTCTCCCATCTCAGAGAGGGTTAAAGAATAAACCCCAGATATTTTACTGCAATTACCATCAGTCATTTCCATTTCACTTCACAATCATTCCTTTTTTGTTAGTTATTCTTATAAAACCCAACTACAGCACATTAAACATGGCTGTAACATACCAACATCTGCTTTAGTCAATGTAGCATTAACACTTTTGCAATGCACAGTGTGTTTATGAAATAGGATAAGATGTAGGAATGAAAAGCAGGTTGGAGGCAACTCATGATTGGCAGCTTGCTGATGGAAAAGGTTTATATTTTCTTTCAAGGCTAATAAAATATGCACAATATCCATATCAAGTGGTTGTTAAACAATAAGTATTTTCCTGTTAACCTATATTTTGCCTTTCAGTATCTTAAGTGTTTTAAAAAAAAATGCATCAGAGTAAGTTAGCTGCATTTATGTTCCTGCAACATACTTGATTTTTTTTTTTTTTTTAACATACAAGCAGCACCCTGAGAGAAATTTTAAACTCGTTTAACAATGTGTTAATTATTGTTTATATGAATTTTTTTTGGAATAATTACAATTTTCAACTTTGCATAATTTTATCTCAGTGAGCCTGAATCTGAAATATCATGCCACTTGTTAGTCATGTCTTTCAAACCAGATCTAACCTTAAATAAAAGCCCTGAGCAAATATGCTTTTTGAGCAATGTTTAATATCATTGACTGCTAATATTTCTCTGAATTAGATTTGCAAGCTCATGAATTTACAAGTTTTACTATCCTACATTTTCTTGGCTTTATTCAAAGTCATAACTCACTGTCAGATCCGGTTTCTAAAATTGAATACGTGGATTAAAAGGACTGAACTCTGACAACAAAGTCTCTTTTGTATGCTGGAAACAAGTGTTGGAGCAAATCCAAAGAGGCAGATTTTAGTGTCACAACTGTTCTTTTTTTTTTTTTTTTTATCTAAAGTAGCGACTCCACTCAAACACTATAAATTAGGCGTAAAAATTTGTATAAAAAGGACATGCAGAAGATACGTCTCCGAAAAGAAATCTCAATGATAGGTAATTTTGAAAAACATATATTTGATGTCTAACCTGCTGGGAAAAGAATATAGGGGATTTTTTTGTTTTTGCATCAAAACAAAGGAAAATATAGCAACTACAAATTTTAAACTTTTCAGTTTCTTTTCACTTATGGCTATTAATTTTATTACAATGTTATTGCCACACAGAAAACATATAAATAAATAACGAACACATTTTTTTTATTATTATTAAATGCTTTTACCATTTAACATATTGTTTTTTATTATTATTTTTCCATTCTCCTTGGGCTTTCATTCAGAGCTGGGTGGAATACAAGTTGCCAGAATATTATTATTCTTTTATTATTTGTTTTTGTACATAAGTATATATTGTGAAAAATGACAAATTAACTACAAATGAGTTCATGTGTTGGTTGGATTTTGTTTTTTATTATAAAAACTTTGAAAAGAGAGCCCAGTGTAGTAGCTTGATAACATAGCAGTGCTTACTTAAGTTTCTGGACTGCTGTCTCCCTCTATTGGTCAGTTTTGCAACATGTTGCTTTCTCCCTGGAAGAGTCACAGATTAGTGTGTTGCACAGGTTTTACCCACGATCAGTCAGCATATAAACAAGAATCAGAAACTTTTACTCAAGTTTGTCCATCAAATAAAGAAATATGAAGCATAAAGTTTAAACTCTGGGGTCCTGTGTGACTCGGGTTGTGAAAGAAAGAAGCCTTCAGATATAAACTTATAATTCCACTGCTGATTAAACTACTTGGAAGTTTGTAGTTTATTTTAAAAGTTATGTTTAATTTCAGATTTAATATGTTGTATTATTTTGTTTTCGAAACAAATGAAGCCTTTTTTTGAGAGAAAATGAAACGTATATGCAATTAAAGCTGTGCTCACTGTTAACTAAGGTCCATCTTAATCACTTTTAATTGAAAAAAGAATACTTGTCCAGTCCAAAACAAATCTATTTTTCAAAGATGAGGCTGTTTTGGTTTTTGTCGTAGATTAAACTGAAGAATCATGAGGTTTTTTTTCCAGTTCTATCACTTTTTTAAAGCTTTGTTTTCTGGTTCGACTTTATTTTCTCATATTGATTTCCTAAAGTTAAACTTTAATAAAGTATTTCAATGAAAAGGGGGGAAAAAAAGTCTTCTTAAACTGGGTTTTCAGTGGTTTTGGTTCCAAGACTGAGTCGGATTAAGTCTCCGCCCAGTGAGCGCCCCACCACCACCCCTCCCCGCTCATTCCCTTCCCTCAAACATAAATTGCGGCATCGCCTCCTGAGTTTGCAGACGCTTCTGGTATCCTGCAACGGAGATAAGTCAGTTTCATCTGGGCTCAAAGTCACAGTTTCTCAGTTGCGTTATCATTTTTCAACATTATAAGAAGTTTAAGGAGCTTGAAGACTTTTATTTTTTGCGTTTTTTTTTTTCCTTTAAAGGAATCTTGCAGGTCAAGCTGTGCGCCCTTACAGACTGTCTCTACAGTCTTTGGGCACATAACACTTGGATTAAAAAAAAAAAAGGACTTTATCTTCCTTTTTTGCAATTTGAGTAGAAAATATTTAATTTTCTCGCATGAATCTCCTCGATCCTTACCTGAAGATGACCGAAGAACAGGAGAAATGTCACTCCGACGCTCCGAGCCCTTGCATGTCTGAAGACTCTGCGGGCTCTCCGTGCCCGTCCGGCTCCGGCTCGGACACCGAGAACACCCGACCCTCCGACAACCACCTCCTCGGCGGTCCGGATTATAAGAAGGAGGGAGAAGAGGAGAAGTTCCCGGTGTGCATCAGAGATGCTGTGTCCCAGGTGCTGAAGGGCTATGACTGGACGCTTGTTCCAATGCCCGTGCGCGTCAACGGTTCCAGCAAGAGCAAACCTCACGTCAAGAGACCCATGAACGCATTCATGGTGTGGGCTCAGGCAGCGCGGAGGAAGCTGGCCGATCAGTACCCGCACTTGCACAACGCAGAACTCAGCAAAACCCTTGGAAAACTCTGGAGGTAAGTCGACTTTAATTTTGAGGTCCGTTTTTGCTGCGCTCTTTTACGCACCAATGCCTGCAGCCTATTCCTTCTTTAAATATCTATCTATCTATCTATCTATCTATCTATCTATCTATCTATCTATCTATCTATCTATCTATCTATCTATCTATCTATTTTCATGTACTTTTAAGATTTGGAATTGGGAATCTGATTGAATGCAAATTCCCTATTTTGATGATTTGGGTGTCATTTTCAGGCTGCTCAATGAAGTAGAGAAGCGCCCATTTGTGGAGGAGGCAGAACGCCTGAGAGTGCAGCACAAAAAGGATCACCCCGACTACAAATATCAGCCAAGGCGAAGGAAATCTGTCAAGAATGGCCAAAACGAATCTGAGGATGGCGAGCAGACCCACATTTCCCCGAATGCAATCTTTAAGGCCCTGCAGCAGGCTGACTCTCCCGCATCAAGCATGGGCGAGGTGCACTCCCCGGGAGAACATTCAGGTAAGATAAGAAACGTGAATACTGTTTGTTTGGATGGAGATTTTAACTGTTAGCAATCAGAATGATCTTGCGGCAGTAGTTTTAGGTGTATGTTTAACCAAGCCATGTGTTCTGTAAACATTTAACTCCAACTTGCTGTATTTATAGTGTTGTTTTTTTTTGTGTATTAGCAATTAATAAAACTATGTCTTTTTCCAACTAGGTCAGTCACAGGGACCACCAACACCCCCAACCACCCCAAAGACAGATGTCCCCTCCAGCAAAGCTGATCTGAAGCGTGAAGGCCGCCCCATGCAGGAGGGCAGCAGTCGACAGCTCAACATAGATTTTGGAGCTGTGGACATTGGTGAGCTTAGCAGCGACGTCATCTCCAACATTGGCAGCTTTGATGTTGACGAGTTCGACCAGTACCTGCCGCCTCACAGCCACGCTGGGGTTGGAGGCACAGCCCAGGCTGGCTACACAGGCAGCTACGGTATCAGCAGCTCCTCAGTCGCTCAGGGAGCAAGTGTGGGAGCCCACGGCTGGATGTCCAAGCAGCAGCAGCAGCAGCATACTCTGACCACCCTGGGTGGAGCAGGAGAGCAGGCGCAACAAGGTCAACAGAGAACCACCCAGATCAAGACAGAGCAGCTTAGTCCGTCCCACTACAGTGACCAACAGGGATCGCCTCAGCACATTACCTATGGCTCATTCAACCTACAGCACTACAGCCCCTCCTCTTACTCTTCCATCACAAGAGCACAGTATGACTATTCAGAGCACCAAAGCAGTGCCAACTCTTACTACAATCATCCAACTGGCCAAGGCTCGGGTCTATATTCCACCTTCAGCTACATGAGCCCCAGTCAGAGGCCGATGTACACCCCAATAGCTGACAGCACTGGGGTTCCCTCTGTGCCGCAGACCCACAGTCCACAGCACTGGGAGCAGCAGCCAATTTACACACAACTCTCCAGGCCCTGAGGAGCTGCACACATCCATCCAAGACTTCTCTTCCCCAGCCCCCATCCCCAGTGGCCTTAATTTCATTGCCCTTCCCACATTGCCGATAGAAAAACACATCACGGACTTTTTTGTAGCTCTGAAAATTCATCTTTAAATTGGCTCACAGCAGTGCCTTTTGTATTGTTTGGAATTGTGATTATATTTTTTTAGATATAATGTTTAAAAAGTAAAATCCTCTGTGAGGACATGCTGGTTATGAGTATAGTAGTATGTACTGTGTATGTGTTCTACTCTCGTTATTCTCAACATAATCAGTGTCATGATCATTGCTTGCTTAAAGAAACAGGGATGCTGGGTAAACGAAACCCTCAGTGGCCTTTTTGTTCCGTCTCTATTGTATTTTTTTAACTGGAAGTTTACTGACGCTGCCATCTCACTGTAGCCTTCATTTTGTACTGTACATATGCTAACTTCAGTAATGTCCTGGTGTTGAGCAATGCAGGATTGACATAGACTAGAAGTGTTGGCCATGATATGACCCTGTCTTCAGCAAAGAGTCCAATGTTGTGCTTTTTGTTTGGTTATTGTGTTGCAAATGCTAAAAGCAGGTGCCATCTAACTCTTCAGGGGGGCCTTACTATGTTGCTAGATGTGACATTGATGCTTGCTTTTTATCTGAGTACTGCCTTCAATACCATTAGTGCCTCTGAAGCCACAGCAGGGAGGCTTCGCAGTCCGAAGAGACAGCCACGCAGGTCGGATCTCCTGCTTGATGAGATTCAGGAAGTGACCTTTGACCTGGCTCTTGCCAGTGTAAATCAGGTCTGAGCATGGTGTAATTCTATCACATATTTTTCCCCTTAATTTCTTTCTTTTTCTTAATTTATTCTTTAGCATTAATTTTATTGGAGAAATATCTTTTTAACTCAGCAGCAGCTAACAGAGTTGAATTTAGGTTGCTGTCATATGTGGTACAAAGTTGCTTATTTATCATTTGTAAATGTTTTCATAAAATTTTGGATTTAATTAAATCAACTTGTGTACAGAATGCTTAAAAAAATCACATGATCGGTCTTTCTCTGTATGAAAAACTGAATGTTTTCTTCTTTTCTAACATGACTGGATGAGAAAAGCAGCTGTCAAGAATTTTGCTGTATTCAACAGAATACTTCTGGGGTTTTTTCTAAAAAAGTTGTTTTTTTCCGCTTGTTTTATATTCTGTATAATTAGTTCTTATTTTTGTCATCTTCTTAATGCAGTTTCCTTAGGTAAACATCGCATTGTCTTAAAAGCTTATCTTTTGTATTATTATTATTTTTTGTTTGCAATAAAAGTAAAAGTCAGAAATAACTATGTTGAGCTGTCTGTGTTTTTTCAACGATGCTTTTCACAGGGATTTGTCTCTTAAAAGATAAAATATGTATTCCAGTTATTCGATTAAAAAAAAAAAAAAAAATACAAATATTGTATATAGATTCATTATCCAGATAGTGATGATAGTGATTTCGATAATCATGGCCTAAGAAACACAAATTATTATTAGCTTCAAATGTATCCTTATCTATGATAAAAATATATTTTACTACAATGAAATTGTAATTGACAATAACTCTTTTTATGTAATGCTTGCAAAAGCAGCATAAGATGGGTTATAATTTTGTGATTTGCAGACATTTAAATTAAGGATTCCAGCTTTGCCGAACATGAGGCCGCTGATCCTTTTGGTACCAAGGCTCATTGATAAGATGTATGTCCACACCCCTCCCTTTGCCTGTAAACACAACGGGTTAAAGAAACAAACTAGACGCTGCATAATGTTTATTTCTCTCTAGCTCAGCAATATAGAAACAGGGCCATGCTTAATAAATCAACCAAAATGTAAACACAATCAGGTACTACAGGTTTGTGTTGAAACATGATCTACATTTTAGATGATGTCTATTTCCTGATGTTTCATCTCTTCTTTTATTATTTGCTTCTCCTCAGGTCACCGTGATGTCTAGACGAGATTTCTTTATATCAGAAATTCAGGGTAGCCTGCGTTTTATAATGTTTCATTTGTTTTTAAGACAGTAGTGGTTCTCATTATTATTCAGTATTCACTTTTTGTTACTGTAGAAATAAACTGAGGTTTAAATGACATCTTAATAAAACAGATGTCAGGGTGAATGTGACAAAGTGCATGCTCCCCCAATTAAACAGGCGACAAAGACGTGATTGAAAAGAGAATTTACATGACTTTAAAAGCAGTTGAAACATTTTACAGTTATATATTTGTATTTAATTGGAACTTGAATTATTTCAACAAAATTTTGGATTCTTTATAGCTTGATATATATTTGTATATTTGCTATATTTTGCTACAATATAAATACATGAGATTAGTTTAACTGCCGGATAGTTTATACATTTTGATAAACTGTACTTGATAGTTAAGAAGTATAATGACTCAAGGCATAATAGATGTATAATACTTTCAGGAAGCACTGATGGTGGTATGTGAAATTTTCCTGTCTGTTTTCAGTGTCATCGGGCCTCATTCTGCTGTCTCTGGTTACAAAGGAGGACAACTTCCTCCTCTGACAGTGAGGAGCAGACGGGGTGTGCACAGCCCACCTCCCACGGAGACCCCCAGGGGCACATCCATCACTGAATCTCCTGTGGCTCAAACCTGGAGCCACGCAGCAGGGGCCTCAGGGTCTAGCATGACAAAAAGAACGAAGCTACTGCCTGCCTAGGGCAAAGGAGAAAACTGAAAAAAAGCCCAAGTAATCTTTCTGCTAAATTCTGCAAAGGCAGGGATTTTACTCATGACTGACGTTACGCTAAAGAATTCAGAACAGGATTTACTCTTCAAACTTGAAACAGTCTCGGAGGAATTAGGAGCCCACCTTTAACCTAAACCATGACATTTGAGTTGGATGAGTTCTTAGTAAAATATATTGTTATGCAACATTTATGCTGTATCCATAGATCTTTAGGGTAACACAACACTAACTAGCACCTGACATAGCATCTTAAATAAAAGTTAAAATGTTATAAACAAGTCACAAAAAACAATCAAAGAGCAAAATAAAAATACTGGAAAGAAAGCATTTTAATGTGTGTTTAAAGTTATTTAAAAAAATGAAGGTTGTAGATCTTTAGTTGTAAGTTTGTAGGTTTGAACGTTAACATGATTGTTTTTATTTAGGTACCCTATAAACTTAAACAGAATTATTTCACCTTCTTTTATTCATTAATATAAAGAAATATAAACACATATGTATTTCCAGGCCTAGTTAGAATCACTTGCAGGTGTTAGATGTTTTAAGAGCTTCCTGCTTGTGCAGACAATTTTAAGTCTAAACCACAGCATTCCAGTGAGCTCAAGACCCGGGTTGTCACCTGACCTAGGACTTTCCATAACCTAATTCTCTGTGGATTTATTCGGACTTATGCCGACTTATGCTTCTTATGACCTGCTGATGGTTTGCTTTCCCAAACCATGATAAATCTACCTCTATGCTTCCCTGTTTAAACATTGCCCCACACTTTTTTTTTTTTTTTCTGGGGTAACGGTGTTATGATTAACCCTTATCTCTGCTCTGCCATTAAATAATGTCATTTTAAAGTTTTCTGTTCAAAAACCATTATACGTTATCTTTGAATACAGTGTACATTAACTCTGTAAAACCTGTTTCTGGACACCATGTTTTTATCTTGTGAGCTATTTCTGTCGTTGTACACTCTGAATCAAAGATAAATGATTGCAGTCCTTTAATTATACAACATGCACCTTAATATCAAGACAGCTTGCTGTTGGAAGCATTATGCATTTTAAGAAGTTTTAAAGGTTTATTTTAGCATCTTGCTATCTTCTCTCAGGATGTCGTCTCTGAAAGGGAAAGACCAAGGACTGTTGATAGCTGTCTTAAATATTGTCCACTTTTTGTCTTATTTTTATTTATTTTTTTACATTGAAATACCCAATTTCCAATTGATTTGAGATATTTTTTAAATCCCCTGCCAGACTAATAGTATTTTACATTCTACTTTCTGAAGAAAAAAAAAGAAAAAAAAAGGAGATTTTTAAAACTTTAAATCTGATTTTCTTTCTTTTTTTTTATGTATACAACATATAAGCTGATAATAGAGTCTCTCATTGTGGTTCTTTAGAAAAGGGGTTGTCAAAGTGCTAATATAATATATTTTTTTAGGCTTTCTCTGCATGAGGCTA